CGCATGTGACTGTGTTACACTCTAGAGCAATAGCTTATGCAGGAAACCCGTAACACACCAGGGTGTAATGTAGGCTATTTTGCTAGCTTCAGTGATTCTGGAGTGAAAGTTTCTACCTAATGGTGGTTCTCAACGTTTTTAGATTCAAGGTACTCCTTGATGGATTCCAGGCACCCCTCAATAAACCGACAGCACTCTTGGTGAATGTCAGCTCTTAGTTTTCACACTTTTTTGACTACAGAAAAATAATAGAGTAGTTTTTTTCCATTGCAAAGAACTCAGCAAGACCTCAACAAGACAGAATGGTTTTAACCCAATGGTTACCTGTTTGCAATCTTTGGGTATATCTTGTGAATTATGTTTGCACACCTAACAGTGCTAACATTGTGCAGCATCCTGCAGCACCCCTGAAGGGATCTCAAGGCACCCCAGGGTGCTACAGTTGAGAATCATCGTTGCTTTAACACCTGCACTTAGCTGGCAGCAGCGATGTCTGTATGTACCCAGCGACTGATGTATTCCACTGTGTGGATCTGGCTGCAAGAACATGTGTGTATTGTTATATCTACACACATCACTGCACATGCAAATTACAACTGAATTTTTTGGCTATGTGAAGAACCAATGGCCTGCACTGGCCTTTGGAAAACCTGGTGTACTTATGAAAATACTCAGCATACAGCAGAGCTGTCCTGGCAGGCTATTTATTGTCATTTTTCCTGTCTTGGAGCGGAATCTGTGGACACTGTGATAAATGAGGCAGCAGGTTTGCCTGGTCTTGCTGGCAGTTTCTGCAGGTGACTTGCTATCTTTCTCTAAAATGCAGCTGTGCAACTGCTTCCAGACACACTCCTCCATGCAAATGCCTCTGGAGTCCTCCCCCAGCCCCAAACCAAACTGAGGTCCTTGGCCTGGAGTCTGGAAGTCACCCCTGGCTGGGAGTTGCTGTTATTGAGTTGAATCTCATTCCAGAATAACACTGCACATGCTCCAGCCTGAGCCACAGGCAAAGCTTCTTCCTCAGCCCTTGCCCATCCTCAAAACTGAACTGTTCCCACCTCAGGGTCCAGATGCCACATGATGGCTCCCACTTCTTTTCCATTCAGAGCAGAGTCCAATGAACCCACCTGCCCCAATGATTCAGGGGTGATTCCCCACAGCCCCCAGAGGGCTCTAACAGCAGCTAACTAAAGAAACCTGCTACATTTCTCTCCCAGCTGTTACAGCCCCTGATCAACCTTTCCATGCAGAAGCAGCTCACTTGGCTGCTGCTGGTACAGACTATCTTTCCTCCTTCACCAGCAGTAGAAGTACAGCCCACTGGTCAGTGGGCGCATCTACACGTTCATTAATGCATCTTAGATGCTGCGCATTTAGTTTAGTACTTCCTTAATAAAGTACTAACTAAATGCCCAGTACCTAAAGTTACTGTGCAGTAGCACCAGCAAACAGTTTATTTAGTGATGCTTACTGTGCATCAGCTTAGTAACACTGAGCAGTAGGCTATTAGCACGGTTTTTGCTGTGACACACTACTGTGCAGTGTTATTAGGCTAATGTGCAGTAATTATCTTGTGTAGACGTGCCCAGTGTGTATGTGTCCTTGGACACACAGAGGCTATGAGTCTTATTTAGCTTGTGGTTCCTTAGCTCTGGCTGCTGTGATGCATACTGGCCATCCTGGGGGGCGTAATTCTGCCCCTGTTACAGTAGTTATCACCCAAGAGCGCTACATAACCTATGAGAGTTGGGCTGCTGGATCTTGATATCAAGGTATGGATGCTCATGTGTAGATTGACCAGACCCAAGAAGGGTTGGGCTCGGTCCATCTTCTCTGCCCTTAAGAAGATGTCCCTGACAGTGAAGGAATGAGGATAATCGGCCAAGAGATCAGAGTGCCAAACAGGAAAAATCAGAAATGCTAACACCTCTCCATTACCCCAAGATCTACTACCCCATCATTGGAAAAGCAACATAACACATTTGGTTGGACCAGAATACACTACCTGCCGCCACAAAGCAGAATAACGATGCTGGCCCTTTAAAAGCGAGGCTGGGAGTCCTTTTTTTTTCTTGTTAAAAGATGTCTGCGAGGGGAGCTGCCAATCTGAAAAATGATCCTTTCTTTTTTCCATTTACTTCGTTCTTTCCTTCTAGCTTGTGCTCATCTGTTCAGGTGAACCGCAGGCACATTCATTAAATCTTTGTCTTTGACACCTCAGCTGCTTTGGAGCCCTGGGCTTCTCGTTCTCTTTCCTTTCTGGTTTTTTTTTCCCTGTTCCCCCATCTCTAAGCTCGCCTGATCAGCACACTAAAAGGCTGCAAGAGAAAGCAGCAGAATAGTTAACTAAGCATAACTTTAACTCCAACTTGCTGAGTGGCCAGTTTTGTATGTATTGATATAAACACAGAGAAGTGGAGGGAGGGGAGGAAGATTGGCTTGTCAGGAATGTGGGTTTCATTTCCCAAGCCCAGTTGCAAATCACACACGCACACACACACGCGCACACACACCCATGTAGCTAAGCACAATGGGGACATCCCAGTCCTCTCTATTCTGGCACTAGCAGGTATACCTCATTGCCAGTTGCCATTGCCATAACCCCACTTTGGAGTGGCAAAAAGGGCATTCAGTGCTCACAAGAGTGAGGGTCTTGTCACTGGAAATGGACCAGAACAAATGCACTGTCCCAACCCAACCTTGGTATTTGAGAGACCTTCAAAATGGGGTTCTGAGGCTGAATTTTGTAATGGGAGGGGACCAAACCACCCCTATATTTGGGGTGTGTATAAACTGAACGAAGACCTAAATTGTGCAGCTTCTGCCCATCTAAACTGATATCATTGACATGGACTTGATATATTGAGGTCAAGCTTTAGGCAAGCTCCTTTCTTCCTCCCTCCTAGCTGAGAGGCATGCTGTTTTCCTGGAGTTGCTCCCCAGGGTGAGACAGCCAGACATCTTCTATGACCGTGCAGCAAGTTTCTGTGTTGTGGGCCATGTGGCTACATGTCCTTTAATTCAGACCACAGTGTAAAAATCAATTCAGCTCCAGACTTCAAAGCAACAAGAATCAACTGGAGCTGAGTGAAGGGCTCACTTTGGCGTTTGGGGTGCCTTAGTTGAAATCAAGCTGATAAAATCTTGACCTTTGAATGCTGATCTCTGGATCACTCTTGGTTCTCCCAAGCCACACATCTGCATCCATACACATTTATATACTCAAATGCTTCCCAAAGAAACAATTGCACATACCCTCTAGTACTCAGACACCCTACACATGCCATAACCCATAGACACACTTACCGAGGCATACTGACAGCGTTCCCAGACACAAACCCTGATGCACCCTCAGGCGTATGCCCATCCCCACACACAACCTGTCCTTTCAAACATTATAGTTCGGCTCTGGGGAATCTAACAGGGCAATGGCAGAGGCCAAAGTCTAGGGTGAAGGAGGGAGAGTGACAAAAAACTCTCGAGTCCAAAGGCACCCACTGCTCAGCTCAGGAGCATCAAACACCCCATTGGGATCTGTAACAGTAGCAGGTGGTCAGCCATTCTGACTATCAGGCCTCAGATGTTACCAGATGGGCACTCAAAATGTAACACCTGCTTTTGAACATTTTGGCCTGCAAGTCAAAGCATCGGGTATATTTGGTGAGAGCCAGCACAGTCTGGCTGTACAGTCATCCACTGGCCGGTCAGGCTCACTAGGTTCTGGGAAGCTGTGCAATTCCTCTGAATTGATTGTGGTGGATTATGTAATGTCATGATTCAATTTGTAGATTCATAGATTCATAGATTAAGGGTCGGAAGG